GTATGTATGAATTAGAACCACAGTAGCAAAACTTTTTGACTTACCCCTGTGACTTACTTACAAAAGAAAACCCAAAACCTACTGCCATCAAGTCAGTTCTGACTCATAGCAAACCCTGTGTAGGGTTTCTGAGGCTGTAAATCTTTACAGGAGCAGAAACCCTCATATTGGTGGGTTTGGACTGTCCACCTTGCAGTTAGCAGTCCAGTGCTTATCCTAAGAGCACCACCAGTACTATTTATTTGGGAGATTTTCATTGTACTCTAAAGAATCTGTAGATGATTTTTTATAAGTAAGTTTCTATTTCAAGTAATTGCCAGTCCAGCATCTTGGAGTACTTTCTTTCTGTTCCTTTTCTTTTTACTTTGTGTATGACTCTCGGATATGTAGACAGTTTTATCCACATAAACGGTTTCAAGGCCATTTCACCATCTAAGATGAAATACTGTAATTTAAATGTTTTTTCTTTTATGACTTCTGAATGTCTTTTTAAAACCCACCATTTAGATACCGTATTATTATATGCACTGTATTAGTAAAATGAAATATTGAACTACCTAGTCTCAGGTGTTCCTTCTAACTCTGAGATTGTCTCATTCCAGGAAGTGCATGCTATCTAAAAATTCTTTTCCTTGATCTGAACAGATGCCAAGTTCATATTCCATTTTTATTAGATGTCAAATAACTTCAGAGTTGTGTACTTTATTAAGAAGCTCAATGAACTGTTTTTTTGCTAAGATTGTTGAGATACGTTGTTATTGTTGAGTACCATCAAGTTGGTTCCAACTCATAGTGACCATGTGGAGGATTTCTGAGGAGCGACTGGTGAGCTTGAGCTGCCAATTCAAACAGACCTTGTGGTGCAGTGCATTATCCTGCAGCGCCACACCAGGACTCCAAAATTGAGATATGGATTAGTAATATTCTCAGATTTTATATGATATGTAAAAATTCATTATACTCAGTGAAGTAAAAAAGATAGTCTTTAGTAATAAAAATTATAAGTAATTTAGAAATTGCATGCAGTTATGTATTGTTTATAATTATCAGTACATATGTTTATATAAAATGCTGATGAGGCCCCACGAGGTAGACTCCCAGGTGAAAGATTATAATGGATTATTAACTTCTAGGCACATAACCAGACTTACTGCCATTGAGTCCATTCTGACTCATAGCGATCCTAGTAGGGTTTCTGAGGCTATAAATCTTTATAGCAACAGAAAGCCTCATCTTTTTCAGAGCGGTTGGTGAGTTTGAACTTCCAACTTTGCCTTTACTAGTCCAGTGCTCCTCTTACAGTGCCACCAGGGCTCCTTTCTTTTGAATAATTTGATATCAAATATGTAGTCCCTGTGCAGTTCACAGTGAAGCTCTCAGCTACTAACTGAAAGCTTGGTGGTGTGAATTCACCCAGAGGCACCTTGGAACGAAATCCTGAGGGTCTGTTTCCAAAAGGTCACAGCCAGGAAAACGTAGGGAGGACAGTTTTACTCTGCAACACATGGGGTGGTCATGCGTTGGCATCAATTCCATGGCAACCACTTTAATTATTAAAAATAGATATGCTGAAGTTGAACAGATAATCCTGTTTCTCAATTAAATGCTTCAAAAGTAGGATGGTAAAGAATAATGTTTACGAATCACATGAAAACTGTGTCATAATTTATAAAATAAGAGCCAGTGCTGATTTTTTTTTGTTTTGATGAAATAAAAAGAGAACCTGTTAGCATGATTGGGTGTCTTTTCAAATGAACTAATGTGTGGTTTTGTTTCTCGCCCCTTTTTCTAATCTAGGTGCAGCAGTAGCAGGCATTTACAGAGTAGCAGGGAAGAACATGGCCCCTTTGGAAGCACTGGTCTGGGGCGTGGGACAAACTGTACTTACATTAATCATCTCCTTTTCAAGGATCCTCGCCACACTTTGAGGCTTCTGTGGGAATGTCGCATGTCACATAAGGAAACAGATGTACAGATTCCCTGAAAATGGCATTGTTAGTAAGAGGAAATGAATTTAATTGTGCAAGAATATGGAATGAGCAGGCTGCATTCAGGCCTGGAGCTGTGTGGGAGCGATTGCCCTCTGGTGGTCAGTGATTGCACTACTGCACTGCACCTCCCGTGCCTCTGTCCCAGGCAAGGTGCATTCCATACACTCTGTGAAGCTACAAGAAAAAGCACCTTGTTTAGCGCCAATCAGGTTAACATTGGTGTTGAAATCATTGTTCTAACAGTGTTGTGTTAAAAATACAAGGACATTTCGAAGAACTGCTATATGTGCCAAACTTTTTGTTGTTGTTGTTAACATGATCATGTGACAGTTTGCAAGTATAGATGTAGATGAGTGCTGTGAACACCTTTGACATGAATTCAGGTGATGTATTGTAACGCTGAATCCCGTATGAGTGTGAATAACTACTCATTTAATAGAGAAATTATTTGGTTTTTAATGTTGAATGTTTCTGGGATTTAGGGCTTCAATATGTTTAAGTTTTATGTTACTTAATTTAAGTGGAAAATAATACTTAATGGAAAACTAGCTAAACCATTTTAAGGTCTCAGACTAGCTCTTTGTAGGGTGTGTAATTTTCACCCACTTAAATAAGACCCTTTAGTCATTTCTCTCATGCACACATCTTCTGTTTATATGAATTCAGAACTTTATGGGTCACACATATTGATTGTACTTTGTGTGTCATAAAAATATCATTTTGAAATTTTTCTTAAAATTTTGTAAGTAAAATTCTGCAATGTGTGTTGCATTCCTTCTCCCTTCTGAAGAAAGTGTTCACCATGTCTCTCATGAAGAAAAGATCCTTATAATTAGTATCTCGGTGGGGTGATATCCTGGTTGTATGTATATATCAACTAAACAAATATATTTGTTTAGTTGATATATTTGTTTAGTTGATTTTTTGATGAAATGTAAGCAGTCTTTTATTCACAATACTCAAAGAGTGGCCTAAATTAGGCCGTGGAAACAAAAAAGCCTCACTTTCCAACACGTAACCCACATTGCAGGAGTAGTAGACTGTTATACTTTGGATATGTAGCAACATTGTAAGTTTGTTAAATGAAAATCGAGGGATACAGTAAATAGAGAACTTGGAAATCTCAGCATAGCGATACAGTATTGGGTGATTTTTGAGTGATTTATTTTAGTTTGGTGGTTAATTCTTGTTATTGAAGTTTATTAGAATCTGCATGGCATTTATTAGAAATTGAGTGGTCCCTGGTGTAAAACATTTTCAGACTTTTAGAAGCATATCATTGATTGTAAGAATAGAGGGAGTAGAGGAAACATAAGGCCTGCTTACATTTGTCTCCTTTTTTATTACTATTTTGTTTTGTACCAGGTACAGTTATAAATGTGATAACTCACAAGAAGAACCATTTCAGAAAGTAAGAATTGAAGGACCTAATGCCTCACTGATTTATAACCTGATCTGGTAAAAAGTAGGTTTATACTGAGTTCCACTGAGATGTAATACCTTTGTTACCCACTCCATTTTTTCTTCATTAAACAAACAAACAAGCAAACAGAATATACCAACCACTAAACAGTGAGGAGTTCAAGGATTTAGTAACATCATGGCATGGAAGTTTGATACCATAAATAATGAGCATCTAGGCATTCTTGGATAAACTGTAGGATCGGCACTGGACTGCTAACCACAGGTTAGTAGTTGAAACCCATCAGCCACTCCTCAGGAACCCATTGTAAGGTCGCTGTGAGTCAGACTGACTTGGCAGTGCTCAGCAACAGCAGTAGCATGCATTCTTGGAGATCTTGGAAGTGAAATCTTCAATTGGATTTTTTTTTATGCCATGAAAAAGCCTGGAATTATTTCCATCTGTTCTTAAATCCTGATGTTTTCTCAAATTAAATTTGAGCATGCATTTTCCAAGTCAGTTTGATTTCTCCTTTTCTGTTAGAGTTTAATTGTTTTCTTCCTTTTGGCTATTCTACAGATAATTTAAAGTGTTCATATTCTTCCAAGAGAATTACTATATTGAAACATGAAAACATGTTAAAATTGTTTCAGATTTACAAAATGAATACTTACTTTAACAAATGGATTGTTTTATGATTTTAGGAAGTTTTTCTGGTAAGGTAATATGGAGCACTTGGTTTGTATTCTAGAAAAGACCTTGGATACATTAAATGTATGAATGCATAGACCAAAGAAGCTTTTACTCTGGAATGGAAATCTAATTGGATGGTTAATATTTGGTTTGTAGATTGGCCTGCCATTAGATTATTACCAAGTTACTTTAAGTTGTGAATTATGTGTGTGTACTTTTAACTTTGGGGGTAGATTTTGGTTTCTTTGCTGTTTTTGGTTATTTCCATTGGATATTTTGCAACTTTTGCTCAGTTTTTTGAAATGCAAGAGATTAGTGTGAATTTATGAAGTTATCTTACTGACTATTTATATGCTGAGATTTTTAAAAAGTTAGTGCTTTTCCTGTAGTGACAAGAAGCGTGTCATGATATATAGGTTCATATATATCATTACACATACCTATTTATAAAGCTGCTATATATGAATACAGTCTGCTTGGAAAGCTTTTGTTCAGTGAACTTTTCATGTTCTAGTGGAGAATTTGATATATTTGTTTAGTTGAATAACGTTTCAAATATGTTTGAGTATATTTAAGGTTTTTGAAGTTTGGAAAATATTTGTTGGTTTAATAATGCTGGCTGTGACCTTGCTTATGATATGGTAAAAGCTTTCATGGACAGAATTGGGCTGTTTCACTTTCTTACATTTTATATGTTGTTTAGCAATAGGTTTTCTTTGTGACAAACACAAGAAGAAAAGGGAGAATTCCTTGTGGGTTACACTTCTGTACTTACACCAATGTTTGGTCAACTATTGCTAATAGTGAAATCACCTCTGCACGAAAGAGATTCCTGTATGCCCAAACTGAATCTTATTTAATAACTCTTTAGAGATGACCATAAAATAGAATTAGGGGACCTCATAGAAGTTAATATTTAAAACCCTTAGACGGGGGGGTCTACAAATAATCTGTCCATTGGATGATTCCATTAGTTGCCTATAATGAATAATTTCTGTATCCAGTGCATTCAGCCTAGTATTTCTTATTTTAGATCTTTGTTGTTGTTGTAATGTGCCGTGGAGTCAGTTCCGACTCATAGTGACCCTGTACAGGGTTTCCGAGGCTGTAAATCTTTACGGGAGCAGAAAGCCTCATCTTTTTCCCGCGGAACAGCTGGTGGTTTCGAACTGCTGACCCTGAGGTTCGCAGCCTGATTCGTAACCACTACGCTACCAGAGCGTCTTAATGCTGGTCAAATAGTGTTGTGTTTTAGTTTGTTACCCAGTGTACTTTCTTAGTATTTGCAGCATACGTTTCCCCCCAAAAGTCTATAAAGGTTTGATTTGTGCTTTAAATGAGAGAAGCAAAGAAATGAGCTGACCTTTATATCATTGATTTGTGATGTAAGAAACAGGAGTAGTTTAAAATCAGAGAATGTTAGAATAGGTCTTTGGAGAACTTCTGAGATGTGGAAAGTGGGGCTCCCACCCTACCCTAACATTCCCAAGCTGATGCCCTGGCCAACTCATTTAAGTTTGTAAATGTTTTCTCTGCATCTTCTACAAGCATCTGAACCAAATGGTTCCTACATTAAATAGAAGATGGTAGGGTTTATGCCCTTGAGTTCAGCAAGAGGCAGTTGACGGCACTTAACAGCAACAAGGACACTTTAAATCCTAAGACAGTTAACATGATCTTTGCTTCCTGATTTTAGTAGTGTGTTTGAGTCCTTTTTCTGCCTCAAAGTTGATTTCCCCTGTTCGTCCACTAGGTGGGTTTTCAGTAACTGAGATAACATTGCTGCGACTGAAAAAAAGCCCTAGAATCTAAGCCAGCAACATCGGTTTGAGTCCAGGCTCTCTCCCTTGTACTTTTTTTCTGAGCTTGAGCAAAATCACTTAACCTCGCGGAGCTTCAGGTCAGAGTCTGTAAAATGGCATTAACGCCTCATGTAGTTAGTGTGAGGATTACATGGGGTTGTTTCTGAACAACAAAACAGTATATCCTCATATTTGTAAGTAATTGATCAGTATTCATTAAAATTCTTTTTTAAAAATGACATTTTTCAATAAATACAATTGAATATGTTGGTTTGTAAAATCCACCTATCTGTTTTCACCTATTTCTCTTTGCATGGAGGGAACTAAAAAGCATTTCTCTTATAACCTTGCAATCTCCGTTAGCTCTTCGTCATCTCTGCAGCATGTATTTGTCTGAAAACACTTTGGGGGAGTTGGTGGTAGTGGACATGGTTAGGACAAGCAGGATTAATTTGGGCTTATCTCTGGTTAAAATAGGAAGGGCTCTTTTTGTGCTGTCAAGTCAGTTCTGACCATAGTGACCCTGTATAGGGTTTCCGAGGAGCAGCTCGTGGGTTTGAACCACCAACTCTGTGGTTACCAGTTCAGAGGTAGCCAACATTTACCCCTTTACCTTATTATCCTACTTACTCCCCAAGTAGCGTTGGTGGTGCAGTGTGGTTAATTGGTTGTCTGCTAACTGACAGTTGGTGATTTGAACCCACAAGCGGCTTCACTGTTTCTGTAAAGATTATGGCCTAGGAAACCCTGGGCGGCAGTTCTTCTCTGTCACATAGGCTGGCTGTGAGTTGGAATGGACTCAAAAGCACAAGATGGCAGCATTTACTGCTCTTGAATTCTTCTAGTCCATGTTCATTGGGATCCCTTGATATGCAATTTATTATCCTTGTTTTGAGTCCTGGTGTGGTGTTGTTGGTTAATGTGCTGCACTGCAGAGTCGGTTTGAACCACAAGGTTGATGGTTCAGACTTCCCAGTTGTTCCTCAGAAACCCTCTACAGGGTCTCTATGGGTCAGCACCGATGCGAAGGCACTTAAGAA